CGGGTCACTGACACTCTGATGAGTAGCTGAATGGTCAGGTGGTGGGAAAGGGTGTATTTTATTTATTTTTTCAGATAAATGGAAATTCTAGTACAGACCCTACCCAACAGCCATATGCCTTCAGACAGCTGGCTTAATTAAAATCTTGGAGCTAGGATTCTCTCATCTATAAAACCTGCTCTGTGGGATTGGTGAAATAAATCTATGAGATAAGGGAGGTGGAGTGGGCATGCAACCAAGCATCTAGTGGATTAGAATCAGTGGCCATATGCCTTGAACTGGAACAGCTGGCCACACAGAGTCACCTGCTTGCCAATTGGGCAATTGTTAGTCCTGGAAGAGTGCTTTGAAATCGAGAAAAGAGTCAAGCAAAGAATGTGTGCCTTATAAGGGAGTACAGCTTGCAAAGAGTTTGTCTGAGGCAGTTAGTCCAAACTCCTACCAGGCTGAGTGACAGCTGTTTTTGCAGAAGATGCTTCAGGGGCCTGGGCATTTCTGAGGCAAAGGGGAAGCTGCTTTCAAAAAGCTAATCAAAGCACAGCAGCAGCAGCAGCAACAAACAGAAGCAATAACAAAATACACCTGGACAAACCAGCGTCTAAAGGACGATTGGAGGCCTGCATTCCCACAACCCCTTGGCATGTTCCCAAGGTCTGTTTGCTTTCTCTGACGTCCTGTGGGTGGGGCTGGGTATATCTGCTGTAGCTCTGGCATGTGGTTGATTAGGCCTGAGTGAGGCATTCTTCTTGACTGTGAAGTGGCTATAGCACAAGGTGCCTAAAAGGCCTACATTTAGCCAATGGATAGGTGTATGTGGAGGTCACTGTGCTGGGCTTTGGGCTAGATCTCAAGAGGGAGCAACTGAACAGTAAACACCTCCCCAGAGTTTGAGTTCCAGTGTCCTTTGAACTCATGGTTGATGGCCTCTCAGAGATAGAGCCGTGGGTCTCTTTCTTTTCCAAGGCTCTCCTTATATTAAAAAATGTTAAAACAAGGATATAGAAATGTAATACAGTGTTTTTCACACACACATAAAAACATAGTGAAGAAGAATTGTGCTTTCATTAGGTTCTACACAAATATTCACAGGTCTTTATAGGCAGGGAGATCTGGTTATGGGACAAGAGTTACAAAGTTATCTAATGAGTCCATCTCTGAGGCTGAATGTATAACCTCATCTGGAAGAAGCAGAAATCATTTAAATTTAAGGATCTTTGAGAAAGAGACCTGGGCCAAATGGTCCTCATGTCTGCCCTCATAATAAGCCCTATGTCTGGTGTCTCCTGGCTGCTAAGCACTGAGTCAACCATATGACATCACTGTGCTGTTCATACCGAGGAACCAGAACTCCTGGGCATAGGGCTGGATAGCTGTAGGCGCTGGAAGCTACAAGACAGACCAGAGGCAGCTTTCTGACATAGTGAGCCTTCAATAAATATTTTAATTGATGCATTTGAATTATGGTCTTGGTAAAGAATATTGAATATGCCATGGACTGCCAGAAGAACACACAAATCTGTCTTGGAAGAAGTACAACCAGAATACTCCTTAGAAGCAAGAATTACACTTCATCTCTTGTACTTTGGTCATGTTATCAGAAGAGACCAATCAGTCTTCGGGGAAAGTTATCATGTTTGGTAGAGTAGAGGGGTCAGCAAGAAAGGGGAAGACCCTCAAGTAGGTGGATTGACACAATGGCTGCAACAATAGGCTCAAGCATAGCAAAGACTGTGAGGATGGTGCAGGAAGGGACAGTGTTTCGTTCTGTTGTACATTGGATCCCTGTGAGTTGGAACCAACTCAATGACATCCAACAACAACAACAACAATAAAATATTTACTGGATGAATACACAAGAGAAAAAAAAAAAGAATATTTGTGGGTAAATTAAATAATTTAACTAGTGCAGTGTAGTAAATTACATAGTGTGGCTTTTCTAGCCATAAGTCTTTGTAAACTCCATGGTGGAATTTGCCAAGAGCAGTTGAGTAGCTCCTGATTGTTAAAGTTATCCACTTGGGGTATTTTGGTTGGTAGTGTTGTTGTTTTTGTTATGTGTCGTCAAGTCGGACCTGACTCATAGCAACCCCTCCTTGGGTTTCCATGGCAGTATCACTATGGAAGTAGATTGCCCAACCTTCTTTCCAAGCAGTGGCTGGTGTGTTTGAACTGCCAGCTTCTGGTTAGCAGTCAAGTGCCTTAGGCGCTATGCTACCAGAGCTCCTTCTGTTGGGAGTAGCATGAAGTAGTTTTCTGGGAAGTTTGCTCTCTCTCAGGTGTATAGAATTCTCATGTTGGGATTGGTTGGTTTGGGCCACTCTGCCAGGGCTCAAAAGGAGCCCTTCTGGAGGCAGAAGAAGTCTTTCTGACTGCTGGCTGAGAAATACATGCTCCTGTGAGAAACATGCTCCTGAGAGACGTGAGACACACATGCTGCTGAGAGAGAGATGTGGGAGACATGTGCTGCTGACAGAGTGATGTGCTACTGAGACTGCCGGCTGCTGAGTGAGACAGCTGGCTGTGAAAGACTGAGTGCATTTCTGAACTGGAATTGTAGCCTGTTGCTTCCCTGATAAATTCCATAATCTGTGAGTTCTGTGCGGCCACTGCAGCGAATTATTGGGTGCTGCGGGAGGAATCATTGGTGAAAGGGCTGTCAGGAAGCAGCATGTCTGGCCTCTCAGGAATAGGCCTTGGGCTACTGATGGTGATTCTGTCTTCCTTTTGTGGGGTTAGAGGAGGTGCCCCTTTAGCAAGTAGTAAGAATAAAATTGATGCTAATAATACCTGATATTCGTTGATTATTCTCTGCAGCTAGGCACTGCCCTAAGCATACATTTTACATGCATTATTTCATCAAATTTTCACAGCAGCCCTGTGAGATAGGATCATTATTATTTATATTTTGTAGCTGAGGAAAGTGATTGAGAAGGCAAATGACTTGGACAAGGTAAAATAAGTAGCACATGGCAGATCAAAAACAATTTAAAACATTTTTATATTAAAGTATAGACTATTCAGTAAAATCCAAATTTGTATGTGCACTAAATAGGAGAAAGTGGTTAAATCCCATCTTTGTTGCTAACTGAAGCATAATAAGGATCAGCATGAATCTAATCCCCACCTGGAAATGGATCCAGTCCTCACCTTCCCACTTCTCCATCCTCATCTCTAGCTACCTAAGTGGCACTCTCTGACTCCAGCCACTTAGAGCTGGGTCAGATCTCACAAGCTTTAAGACATCATGCTTCAGACCAACTAACTGCCCATGCAGCAGTTCTCTGACCCTAGCCACTTGGAGCTGGGTCAGAGCACACAAGTTAAAAGGATGTAGTCCTTCAGACTCAAAATAAGCTGATGCCAGTCACAAGCTTCGGGAGTCCATCCAACACCCATCCTTCTGACTTGCTGGCACTACTGCTTCTTTTGGTTTGATAATTCATTGGAATGATTCACAGACTTCATGGAGAGTAGACTTACAGCTACTGATCTATTATAATAAAAAAATATATCTATTATAATAAAAAAGGTTTTAAAAAATTACAACCAAGGAAACGCATAGGGCAAAGTCTGGAAGGGGTCCCAGTGCAAAGCTTCCATGTCCCCAGGGATACACGACCTTCCTGAGAACAGACATTCTGGCCAACCAGGAAGTCCCCCTCCTGAGAGCAGATGTTCTGGCCAACCAGGAAGGCCGGGGAATTTCCATATTTAGAACCTTTTATTAACCTCCATGCATAGTCATGATTGGGGCCTCATTGCATATGCATGATTGATTGAATCATGTCCTCCTTTCTTCCTGAGGTTAGTTGATGGGGTGATCTTTGTAACCTAGCTAGCCCCCTGCTCATTTGCACAAATTCTCAAGTATTGTCTGGCAGTTTTAGACATCAAAGGCACCTCAATTACCTAAGAAATTCCAAGGATTATCTCTTGGGAACCAAGGATTACAGGCCAATTTATTTTAGGTGAAGTAATTTGTTACCATGTAGTATGATATGTATTTTACCATAAGGAGCCCTTAGCGCTTATGGTAAGGTGTTTTGGCTATGCCTCCCGCAATAATAAGGGCTTATACTCTCTCTCTCTTCAGCTATTTAGTAGAATAGTTTGGGAAGCACTAAAAATATCAGTCTGATGAAGTCAACAGGAATTACCATCACTAGTTTTACTTGAGCCTGCATTATTACCCCCACTTTACAGGTGAGTCAACTGAGTTTCCAAGAGGTAAAGTGACCAGTCACACAGATCTGCTACCTCCCAGTCCAGTGTCACCTCATCTATGCCAGGCTGCTGGGTAGCAGGCCACTTCTTCCATCCTCCATGCAGATAGCTTTTCTGTTCATTGTTTCCTTCCTGGTCCTAGCTGGGTTCGATCCACATGGTTGGAATCCAGATGGTTCTATTTTTATGGCCTGGGATTTATTTTTGGAGGCCTAGGAAATAGACCCAGGTAACCTCTCCTTTTTATACTCAGGAGCCTATGGAAAAAGGAAGATTTCAATTAGGATGTAGTGGGAGGAAGGAAGCAGAGTGGGAAAAGAAAGGGGATTTTTAAGGGCCGGGGAGAGAGGTTTTGGGGTAGATGAGTCATGTCTTTATTAAGGGCTCCAAATGCCTGATACAATTTTTTAAATGGCCTCGTTCCTCACGGTGACTTGTGCTTTGTCCTGACAGTATTCTCTTCTCAAGTAACAAAACTGGGCTCAATGTTTCATTGTATATGCATTTTTAATGTTCCTCCCTAACCCTAGAGCACCACAAGATTCAGAAAGTGCACCCTAGTGTGTCTGCTTGGGAGAGACCTAGAAATCGGCTTTTCTCTGAGTGAAGCTGTGAAAAAGGGCTACGCATCAACAAAAGAGCCTTAAAGTGAGGAGGAGAAGATGGCTGGTGGAAGGAGGTAAACAGCACAAGGAGAGATGGCTGCCGACTTTGACCTGCTTACCATCAGCACCAGCAACCAAGCCCAAGCCCATGGGATATGTAATTAGACCACCATGGAGGGAGCCCACAGCGCAGACCTGCAGCTGCAGCAACTCCCACCCACAAGCAGTGCTGTCTCCGTGAGCGAAGTTTCCTTCTCCTACAAGGCAAGGGCTTTTTCTGATTTGGTATCTTGTGTTTTTCTAACAAGAAAGTAACACAGTGAAGTATTGGCTAACAGGTGGGTCCATAGTCTGCATGCCTGTAGCTTGTAGAAACACAGACCCTACACACATACACACACACACACATCAGAACGTGTAATCAAAAGAAATGTTCATTAAAATACGTAAAAGGTAGGGAAGTAGAGAAACATCTTAAAAGAACAACAAAAAAAGGAATGTACTCCTACTTAGAATATTTGATTTTTTAAAAATCACTTACTCTGTTACTTAGGGACCCCTTGTGGTCACATTTCTGTGTGTTTCCTTCCTGTCTTTTTCTGATAAAACAAACCTGGGTCACATTGTACATAAAGTTTTGTATTTTGATTGTTTCACTTAACCTTATTCATGGAATATTTCCCCAAGTCATTAAATCGTGATTGAAAATGAAATCAGACCAAACACAGGTCCCTGCCCGGTGGGCAGTCAGACCAAAACAGTTCACACACCAAGCGATTAAGAGGAGAGAAAGTTATTTATTGCAAAGTTGCAATGCAAGGAGACAGGTCCGTACCCAAATCTGACTCCCTGAATTAAAATGGAATTACAGTCTTTGTAAGTTTTAGGAGAGAGGGTTATGCATATTCATAAAAACTTAAGGAATTTAGGTGTCAAATAGTTGATGATTGGCTGGAATTTCCTTCACCTCGGTTTAAAGGGACAGTCGTTTTTTAATGCAGTGCACTTGTGAACCTGATGAATCACACCAGCTTCCTGTCATCAGCTGATCAGGGCTTAGGCAGAGGGAGAATGTTTGTTCCCAGCAACTTTGTTCCTGTTTGTCTCATTGCACATGTCTGCAGGCCAAGGTTAATTTTCAAGTTGTCTCCTGAGACACATTAACATGCTTATCACCTGTTTCGAGGGGAGTAGCATGAAAAGAATGTACAAAGTGACTTTTCATTCCATTCAGTTCTTAAGGAACTGAGTTATTATGTTTACTTATTTGTCTCCAACCGGAGATGCAGGCTGAGCTTTGACTCCACTCAGTTTCAAAACCATGCTTTTTAAGTTTCCCGGTACGCTGTTGAACTTCTGTATCCAAATTTGCTCGACAAGTGTATTGTTACGTATTTGGGCTATTTCTAATCTGGGGTGACCGTAAACAGTGCTGCAGTGAACATCCCAGCGTGTAAATCTTTCTTTGTCCTCATCTCTGGTGAGCTGTATTTCTTAGGTATAGTCATCGAACTGTGATTCATAGGCCAAAGGGAATGAACGTTTTTAATAATCAGGGGTTCTTAATATCACAAATGCATGTTTCTAAACATCTTTCAGTGCAACATCTGAATACTTGGATTTATTTAAAATAATTTTTTCCTTTATTTGTCGGAGATTGATAATACCCTAGAGCTGAAGAAGGCTTCAGAGGTCATCAAACCCCCTAATTTTATGGATTGGGAAAGTGAGGCTGAGAGGTGGCGAGTGACATATGTCAGGCTGATAGCAAGTTTAGAGGCAGAGCTAGAATATTATTTGGTTGTTGTTGGTCAAGTTCTCAGTCATGGCGACCCCATGTGTGAGTGGAACTGTGCTCCATGGGGTTTTCAAGGCTGTAACCTTTCAGAAGCGATTTCCAGGCCTGTTTTCCAAAGTGCCTCTGGATGGGTTTAAACTGCCAGCCAAGCCCATTGAGCATTTAACTGTTTGTGTCAGCCAGGGACTCCTTACAATATTATTAGTTTTAGATCATAATAACCAAGAAAGCAAACCCACTGCCATCAAATTGATTCCAACTCACAGTGACCCCCATTGGGTTTCCAAGCAGTAAATCTTTATAGAAGTAGATTGCCCAGTCTTGCTTCTGCAGAGTGGCTAGTGGGTTTGAACCACCAACCTTCTGGTTAGGAGTCAGATGCCTTAGGCACTGTGCTACCAGAGCTCCTTTTAGATAACAATAATGATGTAATAATAATAATTAATACTTATTGAGCTTTTATTTTATCCCAAGGGCAGTGCTTATTTTTTATATGCATTTTCTCATGTCACCCTCATAGTGATACTATAAAGTATATACAGTTTTCCTCATCTATAAAATGGAGATGCAGCCTTCTAGCATAGCTATGAGGATTAAATGAATTCATCCATGTCAAGCACTGAGAACAATGACCCATACATAATGGTCAATGTCTATCAAGTGCTTGCTGTTATCATTTTCATCTCCACTTTGCAAATGAGGACTCTGAGACACATGAAGGTTATTTAACTTGCCCCCATCAGTAAATTCTGGAACCAGAATTTAATCTGATTCAGACTGGCTATGGAGGCATGTTCTTAATCACTGCCTCCCTGGTCTTTGGCTCCTCATCTATTACTTTTTCTGCTATATCACTGTAGTAGTTCAGTTTGTATGTCAATTTGGCTGGACCTGGTTGAATGGCTTGGCAGCTGGTGGTAGTTATTCCCCATGAGGAGACTGGCAATCAACTCCATGGTGGGATCTACCACAAGCAGCTGAGTAGCTGCCTTTGGGATATGATCTGCTTCCTGTATATAAGGAGAAGCCTTGGGAATAATAGCTAGCATATGGCACACTTGGACCCTGCATGTAGCCGTGTCATTGTTCAGCAGGCTGCCATGCTCTGCCAACCTTGGGACTTACAATGAACTTGAATTCATGGCCTGCCATGTGGTTTGGTAACGTCGGGACTGTGCCTTTTTACTTGTCAACCTTGGGCTTCTCAGCCTCAGCAGCCAGCAGCTGTCTGAGTGAAGAAACACCTCTAGCTCCAGTGGGCTGGGAGTAGGAGGCAATGCTGGAGCTCAAGGTTGAGGGGCTTTCACCCAGCCCATAGAGCCTGGCACTTTGAACTTGGACTTAAAGCCTCCAAACTATAAGGGAATAAACTCCAGTTTGTTAAGGCCATCCCATGTGTGGTATACTCTTGTCAGAGTGGCACTAGGTAACCAGAACAATCACATTCTAGTACAGTGAGTCACCATACTATGCTGAACAAGGGGACAAGGCAGAGAGGACCGTATGGAAGTACCATTTATTAAGTGAGCACCTTTCTCTGAAAATTTTGATAATTTTTATTCCTCTGTTTAGAAGGGTATTCTCAGGGCTTCTTCCCACAAAGGGTAAATGGAAAGGTTTGTATCTTTTTAATTCCATCTGAACAGGGAGGCAGAATATGTTGTTGTTAGGTGCCATCGAGTCAGCTCTGACTCATGGCGACCCTGTGTCCAACAGAACAAAACACTGCCTGGTCTTGTGCCTTCCTCACAATCCTTGCTGTGCTTGAACACATCGTTGCATCAGCTGTGTCAATCCATCTCATTGGGGGTCTTCCCCTTCTTTGCTGACCCTCCACTTTACTCAACATGATATCCTTTTCCAGGGACAGGTCTCTTCTGACAACATGACCAAAGTAGGTGAGACAAGGTCTGGCCATTCTTGATTCTAAGGAGCATTCTGGCTGCACTTCCTCCAGGACAGATTTGTTCATTCTTCTGGCAGTCCATGGTACTTTCAGCATTCTTCATCAACAGCACAATTCAATTCTTCTTGGTCTTACTTATTCATTGTCCAGCTTTCATATGCATATGAGGTGATTGAAAATACCAGGCAGAATATACATATGTGGAAATTATGAAAATTTGTCTGGAGTTAGACTTCTTCAAGAGCAGCAGTTGACAATAGCGTTCACAACAGAATCTGTCATGCCAAGGAGGACCTAGTAGTTAATATCCGGTCACATCAGCTTCAGAGCCAAAGTGTCACAGTTTTCTCTGTGTTGGCATCTTGTTCTGATCTTCCTGTGAATGCCTGTTATTTCTCCTCCCTGTATAGCTCATACATTCTTTTAAGGCTGTGACAGGAAAAATGGTAGGCTGAAAGTTGGGAGACCTGGGTTCCTGGCCCAGCTCAGTCATCACTGGCTGTGCGACCTTAGGCAAGTCCATCCCTTCTTTGAGCCTCAGGTTCTGCCTTTAGAATGAATGGATGCGGTTCATGAATGATTCCTAATCCTGGCTGACCACTAACTACCTGGGGATGTTTAAAAAAAAATACAGATTTTGGGGCCCTCACTTTTCACCCCTGTGTCCCCACCATCCTACAAATTGTGATTCAGGAGCTCTAGGGTAGAACTCTGGAATCTGCATTTTATAAAACTTTCTCAGGTGAGTCAGAGGACCAGCCAAGTGTGAGAATTTATCAACCCAATCTATCCACTAAGGTCCCCTCCCCACCAATTCTGTCATCTTAACAATCAAGATCTTAGGCTACCACATCCTAGTCACCCTTGTAGGCCCTGGGTAATGGTTCAGTAGTACAGCAAGCAAAGCAAACTCTTTCAAAGGGACACTATCACTATATCATCTTTGTAGGCACTGGTATGCCTCAGAATGCATTATTCAAAACATCAGAGTTGCAAGTAAAAGAACATTTTTCTTAACTGAACTTTGTATTTTTTGGCCATGGTGGTGTAATGGTTAAGCACTTGGCTGCTAACTGAAAGGTCAGCAGTTCCAGCAGCTGCTCCGTGGGAGAAAGATGTGACAGTCTGCTTCTGTAAAGATTACAGCCTTGGAAACCCTATGGGGCAGTTCTACCCTGTCCTGTAGGGTCACTGTGAGTCAGAATCGAATCAACAGCAATGGGTTTGTTTGTTTGTTTTGTAAACTTTATATTGCAGTCTAACACACATATAGAAAAGTACACAAATCATAAGAATCAGATGTTGAGTTTTAACTAAGAAAATGAACCTGTGTAACTGGCACCCAAATCAGGAAACAGAGGTACTACCCAAAAGTCTCCTCAGGCCGCATTCCAGCTGCTATCTCCCCTCAGGGGTACCACCCTCCTGCCCTGTCAGATGATCTGTTGACGGTGGCACTCTTCTTGTCTTTGGGAGGAATTTTAGGAGCCCTGGGCCAACCTGAATGTCACCAGAGCCTCGCATCTTTTAAGTCCTGAATGCCTTAATTCTGTGAAGCAA